CATGCATTTCCACAGGGGTGCGCCCACCTGCCCCGAGATGGCAACACTGCCAAGGACAAGAGGAGGGCGGTGAGACTTGTTCTGAACCCTCAGGTGGGATAAAGGGGGAGATCACCAAACAGTCACATCATATACCTCTCCCTGTGTTCTGCCCCAGTTCCCACTGTACTGGCTCAGCGTGCCAGCCATCCTGAAAGGCTGGATGGACCGAGTGCTGTGCCAAGGGTTCGCCTTTGACCTTCCTGGATATTATGACTCTGGCTTCCTCAAGGTACGTGATGTGGGACCAGGGCTGCTGTGGGGTGCGCATGCGTATGTTTGTGTGTACGTGATGAACTTCCCTGTGTGAGAGACAGCCTGTGGTATGGGTCAGAGTGTGGATGAGCTTGTGGTGAGAGTTTTTGTGTTTGTGCAGATGCCTGTCTGCTGGGATACTCAAGTTTCACGTCTTGATTTTTTGTTATGTTTCCTGATTTCTGTCTGACACAGCAGGCTCTGATATGGAGCACATGGTTTCTGAAAACATGGAACCTTCACTCTAATGAGGGACATAGACATGCCCACACTAACCAGGCACCTGAAGAGGAACTGGGGGTTGAGGTCGGGAGAGTGGGCCTTACAGACAGTGAGGGAATAAGACTTGACCCAAGAGGGGGTGTTGTAGAAGAGCCAAACCTGTGATGAAGAGCCAAACCCAGGCCACTGGGCTTAGACTTGGTGGAACAAAGATAATGGGATTTCTGTCCTATAGGGTGAGGACTGGAGGCCTATGGGTTTATTACTGAAATAAGTTCTTACCAATAATGACTGCTTCAAATTCAAAAGGCTTCAGAAGATGAGTGTGTATCAGGAAACACTGAATACCCCAAGTCCATCTTGGACCAGACTCCATTCAGCCCCTTGGGGTTGGTACCTTGGCTGGATCCATTTCACAGATGGTTCCCTCAAAACCTTATTCTTGCCGGAAGCCCAAGCACATGCATGTTCTCTGAGCCCTCTGCCCCCTGGGATCACTAGAGTGCCTCGTGTTGGCATGTAGTTGTCCCCTGTGACCAGCCTGCCAGAGACAGGATGTTATATCTGTGTTTGTCCCTGGATGAAACTGACCATGGTTGCTCCCTCCTGGTCATCATAGCCCTTTGACCAGCAGTACCATGCCTGTCCTTCAATCCACTCACAGTGTCCTCTCTCTCCTCTGCAGGGCAAGCTGGCACTCCTCTCGCTGACCACAGGGGGCAACACAGAGATGTACTCAAAGTCTGGGGCCACTGGAGATTTCCGGTACTTCCTTTGGCCACTGCAGGTAAACTGACCATATCTCTGTACTTCCATCTATACATGCAGCTCCCCCGAATTGTAAAAGTGAGATCACACGCGACCCTGAAACTCACCAGTTTGACCCAATCTGTGTATAGCATCCAACAACAAATAAACATATGGTGGTGGTTATGTGCCGTGGCGTCGGTTCCAACTCATAGCGACCCTGTGCAGGGTTTCCGAGGCTGTAAATCTTTACGGGA